TTAACGATATAACAATTATTAGAAGAGTCCAATAAGCTGTTGCTTCAGTCACCTTTTATAATATTTCTTAAATTATATATTTATACAATTAAATATGTATATGAAAAATAGATTTATTTTTAATTTATTGTAATAATTTACAATATAAAAATTTAATTTACCTCTTATAATAGCTTTAATACACTTAAACGGATCAAAATTTTTAGTTCTGTGAAGAAATTGGGCCATGGTCTTCGATTCCAGCGAATATTAATTCATTATGGTCGCAATGGTCTTCTCCGAAATGTAATAACACTTGTGGCAAAGGATACATGGTTGCCATTGCTTCGTGCCAAGATCAAGTAACGTAAATAAAATTTCTATCTAATTATGAAATCAGTAAATTAAATTCAAATGTTCAAATACATTAATTTCTGAGTATTTAGTAAACGTGATATGTTTACATTACCATCAAGTATTAGAGTTATTTAAAATAAATGTCGATATTATCAAAAATATATTTATTTAAAACTTATTTAATAAATAACATAAAAAATTAAAAAATTTTGTTTTTTATAAATAAAAACCTAAGAGTCTCATGAAGCTTTATCACATTATTCATTTTATTATGATAAGGTTACGTACATATAATAAAAAGTGCATAAAATCTGCAATATAATTATCAGCTATCATATGTCGCAGAGGCAAGCCTGCCATAGATTGCATCGGGCCGGGATCATTTTGGTGAGCCAGAACATCTTTGAGGGAGTTACCTTGAATTCCTTGCCCATGACGAAAGGTGTGAACTTTTCCAGTTGTCCGGATAGCTTCGGTAAATGTTACTGCGAGGTAAACATGGTCGATGGAATTATGAGAGCGGCCAGGTTCACAGAACCTTGCATTTCTACCGAAGGGTGCACCCAAAGCGATACGGGAACATTCACTTTCGAAGGAGAGTACGATCCAGGCAGTAGCGCCGACTTCGACGAAGTTTACGAGGATGATGTTCGTGAAAGGTTCGGAGGTACTTGTTCATTATTTCTGAAACTTCAAAGAATTACTGAATTACATACTCTGAGTTTTCCCCCAGAAATATTTCGAAGTATTCTACTAGATCAATGAGCGATAAATTTAATTTCCACAGAAAAAGAAGTCGAATTTTCAGAAAAAGATTATAAAATTCCATAATAATTTAACAAACGAAGTACATTCATGAATAAATATTTATAAAAAGAATAATGTATAGATTTATGAAGAGCCTGTGCAAGAAACAAAGCGTAACTAATACAATGCAATGCAATTAATTCTAATTCCGATAATAATTTTATATTATTTCCATTTCTGAACATGAATAGATTAGAAATTGTATATATCATGAACTAACTTGAATATTCAGAACTCACAAAATTAAGAAAAGTTTATGAAACTTCAATCAAATTCGGTACATTAACTAAAAAATTAGTTCTAAACTCTAATAAAATTCACAGGCATATATTTTTCATATTAAGAGTTGTGGTTTGTCGAAACAAAATAAAATGAAAATCAACAGTAGCGAAATTACAATTTCAAATAGCGGCTTGTGTAAGATAAGTCGGTGCGACCGTAGTGACGTGAAATATGCGAAAGACAAAGGCAAAGACTTGACTTACATATCGCCATTGGCGAATTTTCTAGAACAACTAAAACCGCGATTTTGTCACCCTCAATTTCTTATGGTAAAATCACTTTTTAAAATATCTATGACAGCACGCGTAGCTGAGTATTCCGTGTAAAAAATAAATTTAAAAAAAATAAAATCTTTAACATACGTTTTTCAAAAAACAATGCAGTAAGTATTACAATTAACCATTTGCAGACGAAAATTGTGAAACATCTAAAAACTCTTTTCATAAAAACTTGAATTATCTTAAATCGTAAATACTAAAAAAAATAAACCCTTATTTTTTATATATAAATAAATAATTAATAATTAATATAAGAAATAGATAATTAAATTATTCATTTACTGTAAACGGTTAACGTCTCTAAATCCACTATTAACGTGAAAAGTGTATTTTGGTTCGGTCACCTAATTTCGTATGTCAGTACCCAAACCACATGCCTTTACAAGCAACCGCGGTCAACGCATTAACGTTCAGAATTACCTTCCATATCTCACCCAATTCGGAGTAAATAACACCTCGTGTCCGCGCATTTTCAGACACGCTTTTCTACTTGGAATCGATTAGACCAACGCAGCGACGTCTTCTGCGAGTTTACAGTTCCAGCGTAGAGTATGAGTCACGCGAGGACAGATCGCCGAATAAGAACTCGAAGAGCATCGGTGGATATCGTTCGGCCGTGAGACGTCGGTTCGACGATGATTTTGATTACAACGAGGAGGACGAAAACAAAGATACCAGTGACGGGAACGACGTCGGTGAAGACGGGAACGATGATGATGATGATGGCGACGACGAGGACGAAGAGGAGGTGAACACAGAGTCGCCGCACTATTATGATTACGGTTAGTACTCGAACGTGAATCTCTTTCCTGGCGTTTTCTAGATCGGCCTCAGAGGCCCTGTGCAGGGTCTTCACAGACCCGGGAAACGTGCTCACGAGCCAAGGTCCGATTATGCGGCGATTGAGGGTAAACGAGAGGTCAGTGAACCTAACAGGGAAGGGGCAATGCAGATCGCATCCGCTGAAGACGACTGCGACGATGATTCCACGGAACCGCTGCAATATTACGATTATGGTGAGGAAACGTCAGCGGCGGTTGACAATGAGTAGCGTCTAAATTGCTGGAGTACTACGAATCGGCTAGACAGAACTTGTGAACATTTTTCATGCTTTGATACATTTCTCTTTTAATCTTCTTTACAACAGTTTCAGTCCTCGTGGAGATTGATCATGCTGATGCTTGTTTATTTTTAGTAATAGAACAACTTCAGTAGATATCTAATTGATGGTTATACAGTGTTGCTTGAAAGTTTGGTATTGTTTGTTTGATGAGAGACCGATTTAAACATTTTTAATGGGAAAATGCGATTGTATGTTTGAATTTTTGTAGAATATTTAAATTGGTATATAAAACTATGAAAGAAATAATTCATAATAACAATTAGTTTAAAATTTAACGTGAAATTTACTTACATTTCTTTTTGACAATATTTGTATTCCGTGATTTTAGACTCTGGAGGAAATAAATTCGGTGGAATGCAAATTAAGTTCGCCGTGAAATTGATGGCACTAAATATTTTGCTTTGGTGCATCTTGTTTTAATGGATAAACGCGAAGAAAATCGGAGATGAATAGATAGGAATACACAATCATTTTGATGGAACTACGTGGTAATGAATTCGAAATTAGTTTATTTATCAAGTACACTAAATTTCAATCGAACAAGATTGTAGTTGCGTAACATACTATTACCTTTGTAATATCTACGTGAAATTCTTAAAAAATAAAAAAAAGACGAAAACGTATTAAAGGATCTAGTCAATTGTCATTTTGTGTACGCGTTTCATTTGTTGTATAATACAAATACGTTAGTAAATTCATAAAGGAATACGAATTATACTACTATTTGTAAGTTTGATATATTCTACAATTTTGAAAAGTTCTTTTTCCAAATACAAAAAGAATTATGATACAATTAAAAATATTATTCTGAATGATATCTAACAAATTCTTCTTTTATATTAATATTTTTAATGTCTCCTATTTATGAGGAGAATTTCAATTATAGATCCGTAATAATTATCGTTTCATCGTATTCGCGTTTATTAAGATACATAGCAATAAATCCTCACTATTCGTGTTTAATTATTCACGTACGGCTAACAATTATGATTAACAAATTAGAGTCACTTAATACCTGCAATCCAATGGTCTGGATTTCTCCGTAACATGCCATCTAGAATTTACAGCTCCACGCTCCTGATGGCAATACTTTCACCACAGACATAGTTTATCTGAGAAATCATGTTCTTTAGGGTTTTACAATAGGCTTTGTTTGAACTTTTCACGTCTCCTGCAAATCATAGCATAATTACAATTTATAGACCGTGCGATGCATATCATAAGTCAAGGTGTTTCACTTTTCACCAAGGAATTCCAGCGTTCTTACAATAGAATTTGATTGATAAAATTTTATCATGACACAACAACAAAAATTATTTTCTGAATAACTATCTATCAGACCGTAATGTTCTACGGACATTCGTATCTTTACAACTGTAATTTCTAACGAGTGTTGGTGACGAGTTTTCTATCACTTGTGTATGATCTTCGAATACATCGGAAACAGATATAATTTTCCAGATATTTAATATAAATAAATTCAATGAATACAATACATTCTTTTTGGTATTACTAATTGGCACGATTATTTAAAATTGATAACTTTTCCACAGTCTTTTTAAACAGTAACAGTTTAGTGACTCAAAGCTTGTTCACTTTGCAATTTAAAATACCATTTTATGAATGTTCACCGAAGGGAAGCACGCACAAGAAATTGAAAACCGGACATAAATTAAAATTTTATGTTAGATAAAGGTGAACAGTAGCACGGTCTCGCCTTGCATTGAAACACTATGGGAAACTTTAACATTGAATTGATACACGTGTGTTAGGTGAAAGAGTTCACAGTTCACGTTAGATTTTTTAGATGTTGCTATCTCTGCCGAGTATTATTTGCGATAGATAATCCAATAAAAAATGTGATAATGCAACAACAGATGTAAAATATCAACAATGTTACGTGTGTTTTGCAACGTTGTTATCAAAAGGCCATTCATAACAGAAGGAGATATCTAACATATTATGAAAGAAACATCTATCATTTAATTCCCAGATATTATCAGGTAAGTATATTATGACATCGTAATACGGTTTCTGTTACCTATCTGAAGTCATAAAAAACATGCACTCTTCAAAATTAAAATTTGGAGAATTTCTATTATTGAATTTTTAAGAGGACGTTTTATGTTTTTTTAATAGAAGAGAAACTATTTTTCGTTTAAAGCATATAAGCTTGAGCAAAATACTACGCAAAACGCACTTAATAGAGCTCAATTGACTTAATTAAGATACTTCCTGCGGTTGTCAACTTGTCAAGAAAAATATAGATAGTATTAAGAAGTCAGAAATGATTTTACGACTTTTAAATTGTCACTTATTAAATTATGAGAATACGAATAAGAACATTAATCATTATAATGTGTTTCGCTTAGTGTATAGTCTGCTACGATTGTTTGGTGAACGCATTTATATTTCTGGAAACAAAACATTAACAAAAAAGTGACTGAAAATAGTTCATGTTCTCTGAGACATCATAATATCACGTCATAAATCATGTAATAACATTCAGAAAACATTTTTCATATAAAAACTAATATGAAAAATGTATTGAGTTTTTACTGTTTTATTGTTCTTTAAATTATCAACCGAGGAAAGATACAATGAATTACATATTGTAACTTCGAAGCTTGCAGAAATTATCATTCTTAATCCTATACTGTTTAAATGTTTGAAAAGTGTCGCGTACAAGTGACATTACGTAGCAACTCTATACAACCGTCAATTATACAATCATAGGAAAAAGACCAACAATATTGTGGGCAGAGTAGTAAGCGTCATTGCGTTATTTTCAACACACGCGAACGCTGTTGTGAATAATGATTAGGCGTAACTCGTTCCGTTGCATGAGAGACTCGTTGAACATCGAATTAGGCGTACGTGATTCGAAAGATTCATTCGATTTACCGAAAGAAACTCAGAAAATTGTATTTGTGCTCGTCCGCATTCGACTTTATTCACTATTGTAAAATAATATACACGAAATAATCGTTGTAGCATACAAATAAAGCTATAAAGAAAATTTTGTTTGATGTTCCGACGTGTTTGTAATGTATTGCATTGAATTATGAAAGCATTCCATTCACCTTTTCAAAGGAGGCAAAATTCTTCAGTATCAATGTAAATTTAATAATCATAATTGAATTTGAAAAGTTTTATTAGTTTTTGTTCATTACTGCTTATTTATTATACTCAGCAAGACACTAAATTTTAATAAAAATTTGATTACGTTAGTGTTAAAATCTTGCGCAACATGCGAAATATCATTTCTACTACAAATGATGATATACTATAACTTAACACAATATTTTGTTCAACATTTATTTTATTTGTAATACAAGATTGAAAAATGGGTTAAAGTAAATAGTTTTTTCACTGAGTGTATTTGTGTGCTCCTCGTTTTAATACATCTCGATCATTCTAATTTTTTTACATTTGTATTAACCTTACAATAGAATTTCCGAAACAGAGAAGGAAACCCGTTAGTCCTTTCTATTTTTCAAGATACAGAAACATGTGCTATGGATATTACAGGTATCGCGTAACATTAAGGAAAAAAGATAAACAGGCGTTCTTCAAGGTGCTTTGATAAATAATTACTAACATTCATCTTGATAAGGAGCACCGTTATTACTGCTCCTACATTAGCAATTCATTTACACATTTTCCGTACAAATTTGAAAAGTAACTGTGAGAAGCAGTTACCTCGAAAATAGCCGTATTATATACGCATAATTCAGTTAAACATACTCCTACATTTACAGGGAATTATTTTTCTACAGATTGCACAGACGATAACTAACTTTTCAGTCTACCATATTAATCGCATGAAACACTCCATATTAAATTATGCATTTACTCTTAATAAATTAATTTACCCAGCATTGTTTTCGCTGATGTTATGCTTCTCATATGTAATATGGATACACAATACCTTGAAGTTACTAATAACTTAATAATTTTATGTTAGCAAAACCTTGACAATGCCATGTTCACAACAGAAAGTAAGTAGAATTCGTACTCGCATACTTTTTCAAAAATAAAAAATTCTTTTTAGAACTGACATTAATAAAAAAAAACATTGGTATATACAATGGTAGTTATAATCACAATGATCATATGATTTGCTGAAGCAATTTTGTATAGTATAGATATTATTCAGGAGGTAATTTATACATGTGATTTCAATATGACCAATGATTGCTTTTCATGATGTAAGACAATCATATAGTAATGAACAAACGAGCACGGTACAATACGATAGTAATTTAATGGGTGAGAGTGCTTGGGTGGTTTGTAACATAATCCCACCGCTCGTAAATAGAAAAATTAAAGCCTACGACGAAAACTAGTCTGTGTTGAATAAAAGTCAGCAGAAAAAAGTTTATTTAATTTGTATTGAAACAAGACATTCTGAAGGAAAAGCACATCAATACAAAATTAAATAATATATAATTTTAATAAAATATCAGTGTTCCGTACATTTTACATATTGCATACAATTTTTCGTTAATTTCTTTATAATACCTATAACTTTTAAATACAAAGTAGAAGAATAGAGTCATCCTATCAAATCATTCAAAAGACTTTCAAAATTACGCAAAAAATTGCAATTCACGTTCCAGTGCTCTTAAAAATTCAATATAAACATACAATTTGACATCAGATAACTTTAACTTCAAACAATCCTTTCATAAGATGTATAATTTACGGGTCGTTAAAATCAAGTCAAACAGAACACCCGGTACATGGTGCTGCATTTTACGTTACATTTGATTGTTATCATAATGAAACGCGTATCAGTGTGCCCGTTGGGATCGCTTTTACCTGGCTGTCTCGGTAAACATATATAGTTACGATTAAACACGGGCAACGCCGTTCGCGCCTTTCGCAACGATATTTACGACTCTCATCGTTCGTTGCATAGCCAAAGACTGAGTTCGGTCGATTGATCGTGGTGCCGTAAGTAACGCGATATCCCGCAAGGAATGCCCGGCGATACCTTTAAACGCGGAGAGCTCTCTGTCGACAGCGCACGTAGAACTTGACCCCGCCGCCGTCAATCCATCGCCGTTCGGTGTCAGTGACCTGCCTCAAAAAAAGAAACTAATTCCACCAGCCAGTGGCCCGTTACACACTCCGTCGCGTACACGCACTGTACCGCGGATGGATTCTGTGATCTCAAACGAATCGAATTTAGAGCCGCCTGTCGTTTGTTTTCGGTGGCTGGCCGGGCGTATCGATCGATCTATTGGCCTGCGGGGCAGATCGGCTGTTAGAAATTTCGTCGCGTCGACCGTTCTACGTCTTGCGTAAAACATGACACAGAGGATCAGTTGAAGGGTTTACGTTGCTGTTCAATCGAAACGTTTATCTCGGTAATTGAATTGCGCAACCATCGCAAGGTATACACATATTGCTTTTTATATTCGGTGTGTGCATAACACTGTTTTATTTAGACACCTATAATCCAATTTGATAATGTTCGTATTATAAATATCTATTAGCATAAATTTCGTAATAATTCGTATATACTATATGTTTCATTTATTTTGGGTACCTTTAGCTTATTAAGTAGTCGTATTGAATTACAAATAATATTACGTCCTGTATTTCGTCTTGTGAAGAAAAGGAATTGGAAAAAGTTTCACTTGGTTCGAATTAAAAGGTTTGTTGTTTCATTCGATTGAAAAAGCGAAGATCGTAAAACGGGTATGAGCAATCTCCTTGTTCAGACGTCGGGCCGTGCTCTTAGAACAAATCGACGGACGTATCAATTAAGCCGATTGTATTGGTCGTGCATTGAGACAACACGCGCGGTTATCATTCAAGCCACTCACACGTTCGTTCCGTCTCATGCGCGAATCCTTCGTGCGAGCGAGGCGACTGCGGTGAACACAGTCGTGCACACGAGTGAAGCTACCACGAAAGAGTATCCGAAGAGATAGGGAGGAGACGTTCCGACAAGAGACGGCGTTTCTTCAAAGGAAAGCAGCGAGACAACGCCAGCGGAAGTGTAATGCCATTGCGCGTCTCTTTGCATCAATGCAAGATAAACACGAACACGGGAGGGGGTCACGCGTAAGAGAATTGACCGATCACGAGAAAATCGTTTGAATAGCACGGGGGTCCGGGTGTCCATTGTCGGCGGATCTTAGGTTACGTACCTACCTGCACGGTGTGGGTAGACGATCGGTAAGTTATCCGCGCTGCTGCAGGCGAAACCGACGAGTTTCATTCGGTGTGTACTCCCGCAAAGATATTTTAGTCAGTCTTCCATTTAATCCTGCCGCAATCTTTCTACGCGAGTCATGCCACACGGGTTTCGATGAGCCCGAAGCGGATTCCCGCGTGAGAGAGAAAGGAGAGGAGAACCATTTTAAGAATATCGGCAAAAGGACAACGGTCCCCCGTGTTTCTTTGTGACGTCCAAATGTTAAATCGGTACAAGAGGCGAAGAGAAGAAACTGATC